ACTCCATAGCTTCGATCGAAGGCTTTTCAAATCCTTTCGCATGTAGCCTTTTTAATCGCTACTCGATGTAGGTCGCTCGTTCATGCTCGGTTACCGATTTTTTGCCGCGCTAATAACTATTTTTTGTAAATTGTTGGCTTTCTTTTATGCTATTCTCAAAAAAAAAATTATATGCTCTGTTGAGCCTCTATAAATGATTCTAGTTAGCTAGTACAAGGTTACCGATTGGTTTTTCTTGGAATCTATACTAATGTCGATTCTTTGAACAACCTTCTAAATCTAGCTCTTTGCTCGGTTTTCTTTGGGAGCTCGTTCCCAATTTTTTGTATCCCGTATATGCTACTCTTGCTGGTTCTCTAGCTTGTTACCTTTTGATTTATATACTTACATTTTAAATAAAAAAAAATGAGTTTTTGGGTTCTTTAACCGTTGGATCGAGCTCAAATTTGATGGGCATGTTCGGGAGAGGCAAGCGCACATTATGGACGATAGAGATCTGGTTTTGAGTCCTGGAGAGCGAGATATTATGCTTGTAACAATGCTGTTTTTTGATGAAATCTGAACTTTGTTTCTTCTATTTTATTTGCGTATCATCTTTTGATGTGCTTTGCCAAGAGTGTGTAACCTTTGATGTTTATGGCTAATTATTCATCTAGTTTAATCTAGAGAGGACTTCTTATACCCATTATTGTTGATAATGAAAGTTATTGTAGACTCCGATCTTATGGTTTTTTCCTTTTCAAATGGAGGAGGTTTTCCACTTAAATTTATGTGTTCTTTGTGTGATTGTGATTGGTTGCTTATATTTCAAATTATTAGTTACTTGCTTAGCTTGGGTATTTAGTTGTAGCCTGTTTTTGATTGTTCAAGCAAGGGCAAAGAGGTTCGTTGTGTTATTTGTGTTTCTTTGCCCAACAGTTGAGTCCGCAACGAAGGAAAGTGACAATAATGGCCCTTTGAGGAGAATGTAGAGACTTCTAAATAAAATAAATGGGCTAGAAGGAGGAGGAATTGTAGAATTACATCCTTCACTATGGTCCCCGTGAGTACTTTAGGTGTCCATAACAACTCGACCCCGAACCGTAAGAAAGAATAGTCTCCCTAGTGTTGTTGAACGTGGTATGTTTTCCATATTGTTTTACCATAATGGAGTTTTTTTTGAAATCCATGATCGAGTCCCACCGAGCATGGCACTTTATATAAGTAATGTTACCAATATAAAGTTCTCCCTTACTTCAAGAATTTGAAAGAATTTTTTAATATTTAAAACTCAATTCGTGGTGAGACGATAACTATTTTTGAATCAAATAAATTGTGGATTCTTTTAAAATCCTAGACATAAGTTCAAATAAATAAGGATTAGCATGACCATCCCGGATAATAAAAACTATTCAAATAAAGCATATACATTAGTGTTAAATTTAACCATAATAACTTAATCATGATATAGGTTCAAAGACTTATATTAGTCATAAAAATCATAAAAGTCTACATTAGTTTTAAACAATTGTTTCTATCAAGGGACATACATATAGATTTACGTTGGGAAAACAATCCGATATACTTGGAGGTTTATACTAAGTAAATATGAAGTCAACATTGAGCAATAAATCTCAAAGATTATGTAATTAAACTATGAAGAGTTTGCACCAAACAAGATACTTGCAAAACTATATATATTACATGAAAAAAAAAAAAGCAATTAAATAGACTAAAAGTTTATAAAGAAAGTATGTAAAGAAAGCAATAAATAAGGTTGTAAAGAAAATGATAAATAAAATTTTAAAAAAAGCAAGGAAATTTTGCAATAAGAATAGCACAAGTGATAAAGTATAGAGTTAAAAACAATACACTTACATGAAGTACTTCAAGAAAAATAAATTGGTGAAAACTTAAGAAAGTTTATATTGAAATTATTGTGTAGAGGCATGCTAAAGAAAATATGATGAGGAAACTCCTCTTTTTATACTATTCTAAAACCTATTTGTATGACAAAAAAAAAAATCGACTTAGGAATCAGCTTTTAACCGATAAAATATTAATTAACATAAATATAAATGTTTAGATCAAGTAAGAAAACAAGAAAACTAAACAGAATAGGACTTTTGAATCATTTATGAAGATTAAACAAGAAAATCTTAAATTAGAAAATTTGTGTCTTCTAGAATAATTTCGATTATAAAATCTTCCAAGTTCGAATTAGTGAAGTGTGAATCACTCATATCTTAGAAGAAAGCTTCGTTGAATATTGGTCAATCAAATTGTCAATCTCATATTAACTACACATGTACACTTGTCCTAATTTGAAATGTTTATTTTAAACGTCCACGAGTAACAATCCACGTAAACACCGTATATAACAATTTAAATAGCACTCTCCACAACTAAGTAAATTATATTTAAAGATCGAATACAAGTAATAATTTTACCGATAATTGTATTAGCCTTGTAATCGTGAACTAATTTTTTTAAAAAAAAATTGACTTATTGAAATGCAAATTCAATTACCTATGTGAAAATATAATGCATAAAATTGTGCCAATATATATATTGGCACAAATAGCCTTGGTTTTTTTATAGACCTCCATGTTGTGGGGGCTTGCTTCGAAATTTTTCTTATTATTTAGGTTAATGGCTTAATTTGTTCTTACATAATAGGATAATTCTCTAATCTATCTTTATATCACTAATTGAATCTATTTTATCTTTGAATATTCATTACAATTCTAATCTATTTTTCCGACAAAATTTGTATTCTAGACCTCTAAAATTAATCATATGATTTGTAAATAAAAGACTTTTATTTGCATGGCATGTAAGGGCATTTTAGAAATAAAAAAGAGTCATGTGTAAATCACATGATTAATTCGATAATTTGATCCGAAAATCTTGCCAAAAAATAGATTAGAAACTTAACATATATTGACAGACATAAAAATATTATGTTTAGAGGGTGTCATGGCACCATCAAAATTTGACAAAATTTTCATATTAGTCCTAAACTTTTGAAAAAAAAATTTAAATATAGCCTTGAATTTAAGGCTTATTTTGGAAAATATCTAATTTTTGAACCCAAACAAATTAATTATATTCAATAGCTATTACTATTTTATGTTATTTTTAAATGCATCCTACTCAGTTTTATTTTGGCATCCCCACATCTAAAATCTTAGTGATGCCTTTACATTTATTCAAGAATAAATTTAGTTCAATTAAAGATATAAGAATATGCTAGAGAATTATTTATTATATATAAACGTACATCAAATCCTATGGCATGTGATTGATAAAACTAGTACTCGCAGTTAACTTAATGGAGACCTACACAGTATTGTAACAGATGCCTAATTCTTAATTATCACAAGGAAATTAACCAGCAATTGTTGGACATATTAGCTAGAGTCGGTGTTAGGATGCAGGCGTACGCTTAGTAGACAAGAAAAGAGCTACTACTGATACATGGGGAAGTTGAAATAAGCAATAGATGCACGAGCCAATACTGTAAAAAGTCTCTGTAATCCCTTGTTATATCATCATCACCATCATCATTATATTAGAATAATAACAACACCACATCTAAAACGATTATTACTCATGAGAGACTAAATTGAAGAGAACTCAGGAACTCCGGAATATAAAAAAAAAAGCACAACAGAGATTAAAATTTTAGACGGCCATTAAAAAAAATGCTTGAGAAATTATTTTTGAGTTTCTGGAAGTTTGGGAATGGTCCATGGATAATTTGGATATCGAACTAGTATATTTCAAAAATTCGTATACTTTCATACAAACTTAAAAGCAGGTTATGATTTTTCAATTAATGTAGTCGAATAAGTTTTAAAATAGTTCTCTTTTTTGTATGATACTGGATTTGATTTGTTAGTGAGTTTAAGATTTTATTTTTATTTTTATTTTTAGAATCAATTGGAAACTAGATGTGATCCGATCCTAATTTGATCTAAAATAAAATGAATTTATTCTTGGTTGATGTGAAAATTTGTTTGAAAATATTCAATAATTGTAATATAAAAAAATAATTATAAAACAGTTAAAAGGTGCTAAAAAAAATTAAATACCTAAGGTGTTTCGCACGAAGAATTCTAATTTCTATAGGTTAGGATGATAAAAAAACGAAAGTGTGTTGATAGTGAAAAAAAATCCGAAATACTTTTAGGAGCATTTCAAAGTAACTCTAGGGTCATGCGTGTTTCAAATGAATGCATTAATGGGTTTCATAGTGAGCATACTTGCCTCATCACCTACCTCCTTTCGTGACCTAACAGTTTGCAATAGCAGATACCTTCATTTAATAAAATTCAAGTTAGCCCATGAAAGAGGTAAATCAGATTAATATAAGCCAAGTCATAAGGCGAACTGAATATACAATAGTTCATCTAAACCAGCTAAATAAAACTCCTCAATTTGTCGAAATACATGCAGAACTATCATTCTTCAACATCTCGTGCCAGTAACAGGTTGCACCCCCAGTCTTGATCAAGCGTTCACATTGACTAACATTCAATTAGCTTCCATGCAAACTGATCAAAAGTTTTTACTCAAAAGCATTTATATATCCCTATAGATAAATCCAATTTACAAAGAGATTAAGAAACACAACAAACACATCAACAGGGATTGCTATTATGTCCACATTGGCAAACATGTTCACCAATGGCCATTTGAATTTAGTTGAAATCCAATGGTTTAATGAACATCATTATCAAGCTTTTCATGGATGCCAGTGTTGCACCAAGCTAAACAAAGTCATTTCTCAAATGCTTTTGGATCCTCATACATAATCTGTACCTCAAAATAGCAGATAAAACATTTTTTGTTTTGATGATACAAATAAAACATATTTCAACATTTATTTTAGCCCACATCTCCAAACAATGAAACTAGGCACGCCCTGCAACTTAAAATCATCAATTCATGGAAGGCAATGTACAGAAGATTACACAAGAGACCACATGTTTCATTTCTAATGACTTGTAAAGCAACTAAAATATGAAGACAACACTGTCATGAACTCTAGACTTCTGATTCTGAGCCACGCATTCAGATATCCACATCAGATTCCTGATCTCCTGCTCCCTCAATCTTATGTATGCAAAGAAGACAGCATAATGGAACTGCAAGCCAAAGAAGACATAAAGCATAAAAGGAAAGCAGGAATAAATGAACTAAAAAATGGACCATATGCATAACTGCTGCATGCTAGGGCTACTTCATTTGTTCTAAAAAAATAATAATAACAATAGTTCAGCATAGACGTAAAATGGAGGATTGTTTATGAAGCAAATACTTTTAAGCCTAAACTGAAAACTACAAAAAATTTTACAAACAGTTGGAAATCAGCCGTGCTATTACTTGCAATATATGAATCAACTTTGGACAGAACTAAGGAGATGAGGACAAAAGGAGAGGCACAAAGTTGAATATGAAATTACTATATAATAAGTGGCTACCCAGCCACCAATACAAACCTGTTGCTCAAAAGCTAAGCATAACCTTTTCACTTCTTCTTCATAAAATGCCTTGTCAAGAAGCTGGCTCTCACCATATGACAACTTGGCAAAGATTGACTGATAAGGAGGATATTTTTCCATGACACCACGAACCTGAAATAGCAAACAACCAGAAGACCCAGAATCACGAGATATGTTATATACATCGCTAATAACTATAATGCAAAGAGTCAAAGATAGAAACATATACGTCAAGCAACTTTTTAAAAAGAATGCTTCCTAATTTCATTTCACCCTCTTATCACATCAAATGATCAAATAGAGAATTGCAAAATTATAATATCACCAATCAAAATCTTTAAAAGAAATTAATGTCACAACTTTTCATCTTGAAAGATTCAAAGACTAATAATAATAGGGCAACCATTTTGGCCCAGTAACACTGACATTCAATAAATCTCCATATGGTCTTGATGAAAATAAAATGGAACCAAAACCTAATAATGGTAGGATTTCCTTCTAACCTTTTTATATATACATGTATCTTCCAAAATTTAATAATTGTTACCAAAATCCAACCATTCCAAAATGGCCAAGCAGATAATTCCCATCCACAAAATCATTCAGTTCAACATAAGAATAATAAAAATAACTAACTAAATAATTAAAAAACTAAACCTCAAGATTAGAAGAACGGGATCATCTTTGACTGGAAAAAAAGAAGATATATTTTAATAATTTTATAAATCCATAACAAACCTGATCCAAGTCCTCACAGACAGCAAGTTCCTCATGTCCATAAGGATAGCTGTTCAACGAAAGTACAAGATTGTCAGAGTGGAACATTAAAGAACAGCAGAAATTATACAAGGCAAGATAACAATCAAGCATTAAAAAATAGCTTACAGTAAGCCAAAATTAGAGTACAATTTCCTACGATCCTCCCGGGTCAGCTCGGTGCCAATGCTGAACAAAGTGAACCAAATCAATGACATCAGAATGAAAGATTAGGAAAACTTAAAACTATTAACTATCCTCCCACACCAGCCCCAAGAGATCTACATCTCTCTGGCATAATAAAAATGGAAGCACTAACAAACCTATTTATGGTGATATTGACAGCCCTTCTGTCAGCCTCAAAGGAAAGGAGGTCAGACATGATCTCAGATGTGGCACCTCCAAGTTTCTGGCCAAATATCACATTAATTTTATAAGAAAAGAGCACAAGGCAGAACTAAATATAGCCAGAAAGAGATTTCAATATCCTTCTTGTACTTATTCTCACCTGACAAAACCTGTAAAAATCCTCAAGATATGCCTTGTAAAGAGTATTCCTCATAATTTCAATATTCATGTCATCCAAGTCCTAGAAACGCCAAAAATTTAACAGAGACAGAAGGTTCATAAGAAATAAAATATAAAGATGTCAATAGAAACAATAAAATACTAAAATCACTTCACAACAAAGATCTTACTGCCACCTTTGCTGTCAAGAATCAATTAGTGGGTGCATCTGTACATGTGCACTCATATATACATGTTAAATACCAAGTAGGTATAAATTTGTTATCATCTCAGTTCGCATTGGTCTTAATGCGTACATACAAGCATGCATGCAGCTATAAACAAATGGAACTTTAAAAGGCCTAAATCATCTTGTTTTTCAATGTTTACTGGTCAATGATTTTAATTTCAGCTGCATCACACCCCACACCAAAACGACAGGATTGCATAAATGAGACTGACAAAGAGGAATGAGCTAGTTGTCAATCATTGTTTCAAGTTATCACAAAAGCCAATTTTTTATGTACACAACAACATATGGAAGATTTGACATGGAAGTGAATATCACAAGTACGCAAATAAATAGAAAACTAGAAGTGAGAGAAGCAAGTGATGCAGGATCATACATCTGATGTGATGCATTCTGAGAAGTATGGTGCCAGCGGTGTATCAACAAGCACCAATCTGTAAAGCTCCCGCATATTCTGAGCAACAGCCAGGGTGGCAATACTGCATGCAATACAAGCAGAAATCAAGAAAGGTTCCATGAAATATCAAAATTGAAAAGCAGTACAATGTAGGTAAAAATAACCTGTCAAACATGCCCAAAGGATGGCATTTCTCCAATAGTTCCTGAACATCTCTCTCATGCAAGGTTCCAGTTACAATCAGGACAACATTGTCTATCATATGACCATATCTGGTCAAAACAGCAGAAGGAAAAGGGTTAACCTTTTTTGCCTAATTCGAAAACCATCAATTAATAAATATCAAACCAATCCTCCTCTAACTAACAAGATGTATAGCGTGCTGACAAGGGATTTAAAAATGCATAGAAAACTAAAGCCCGGATACAGCATGTTTTCCAAAATTTTCAGCATATCAAACTGAAAACGTAAAGAATGACTATCAATAAGTACTGGAAGCATACGTGCAATACTCCAAGAAGGTGGATAAGGGCTCTGTGGCTTGACTAAGCATATGCTTGTACTCATCGACTAGTTTCAGAGTGCATTTCTCCACAATTGTAATGGTATGTAATGGTGAAGGTTCTGCAAACCAAGTCATAAAAATTAATTATAAGAGAAAGAAAATCATGCTCAAAAAGAGCAGAGCAGACCCAACCCGACCCTCATCAAATCTCTATAACTAATGACAAAATGAATTAGATAGATCAAAACAAGCAGAACAATAAATCGCAAATCAAACATACAAAATTGAGACCGAGATCCAGAACAAAATCGCAAAATTCAGTTTAATTATCAATTTAGAAGGAAAAAAGACGCACCGTTCTGAAGATAGGGACCGTACTCGGTAGCAGAGAGGTGCATCTTGATATCATCAAGGGTTTCACACTGGCAAAGATTGTTATAATCAGCGGCTGTTAAAAGCCCTGATCTGTGACCCCTTACGATCGCTTCCAGGTATCCTCCATGAATGTTAAACGTTAGCGCCTCGAATCCGTACATTTTCACACCCACACCAGATATTTCTTTTCAATTTCTTAACTAGTATTTGTGGTGAATTCTTGAAGAAGAAGAAGAACCAGAGACAGGCTCCCCTTCCAATCTAATCTAAGCAAATCTAGAAATATATAATAACAAAACAAATAAAGAGAGTTTTTTTTTTTTTTTAATGATTGGAAGGGAAGGAAAGGAAAGTGCTGCCAGATTTTGTGTTTTTTAATTATTTTTTATTTTATTTTATGGAGTAAACATGACGATGAATAGAGTAAATTGTAAATTAGTGTCTCTTTTGTTTTACAAATTAATTATTTAATTTTTAATGGTATTAATGATTTAGTTATTTTGTTCGTTTTCTGTTAAAGTGATAAAGGGGTGTTTTTATTGTATAATTTTTATTTTCAAATTATATTTTTTATAGTTCTTTTTTCATATCTATCTCCTCAATTTCTCTTCTCCGGCGTAAAAACAAATTTTTATTTTTTAAAAAAAATCTCTACTTCTCATTTTATTAATTTTTACTTTATTTTTTTCTCGTCAAACATTAAATTATATTTTCATAAATAGGAATATATGTTAAAAAATATTTTAAATATTAGGTGTTAATGTAAGAAATTTGATAAAAAAATATATAATAATAAAATAAAATAAACAGTTTTTAAAATAAATATATTAATTAATTTATCTTTTAAATAAATAGATTTGAGTGGAATATGTTTTTTATTTTTTTTATTTTTGTAATTGTATGAGCAACATTATTGATGGGCTATGCCAATCATAGACTTTTGGATTTATGAAATGGAAAACATTAGGTTGGTTGATTGACTAACAATTGGGCTATGAGCCCATTTTTAAACTTGCTTTATGGTTTTCACAATAAGTTTTTTGCTAGAGAAAAGTACCATTATGTTTAATTTAGAGCCATTTATTATATCTCGTTGTTTTTTTTTTTTTTTTTTTTTGGTCCTTCCAATAATGCGTTTGTTTTGCGTAAAATACTTTCCACCATATTCAAGTGCAAACAAACAATGAACAATTAATCTAGGGAAAAATTTCTAATCAACAAGTAAACTCTCGATAGTGTGGTTTTGAAGAAAAATATTTTTATCGCATACAAAAAGGGAAATATTTTTTAAAAAACTTTCAATTAATTAATTGTAACGTTTTTTTTATACACATTTTATAGGATAAATAGTTCAATATATTTTTATAATAGTTTAAGTCTTTAATTTGTCCTTACATTTTTAATTGAATCTATTATTATGTCTTTAAATCATGTTTAAATTTTTAATTTGTCATTTCAATCAACTTTTCCAACAATGAACATCTTTTTTTTTACCAAAATGCTTTAGATTGAAATGAAAAAAAAAACACATTTAAAGTGACATGACATGCATGTTCTATTTTTTAAGTCTTTATATCTTATTTATTTATTTATTGTATTTTAGTCATGAGCATTTCGGCTAAATTTTTTGCTTATAGTTAAAAAGATTAATGGAACTAACAAATTGAAGTCTTAAACATTATTCGGGACCAATACCATATTTAGAGGTAAAAAGAAGTCGCGATGAAAATCTGCATGCCTTTGAAATTATGAATGTCAAATTGGTGCCTAACCTAGAGGCATTAGAGAATGTAAAAATGGCGGCCAAGTATATGATGAAGTATGAGTTTCTTTTATGCTATGATTTGAACACTAAAGTGCCAAAAAGAATGAACAACATAAAAATAGAAAGTGTTGACCAGATGCTTTAGGTTAGAGTTCAAGACTAGTAGGAAGGATTACTTAAGAATGATAGAACAAAAGAAAGAGAAGAGACTACCTAGGATTAAGAGGCGGGAGCCAAATGATGGAAAGGCCCATATTCCTCACATTCATACAACGTTTTCTTACCCAACCTATGCGATTAATCAAGGTGAGGAGGAGGTAGACTTGGGGGCAAAGTTGGCTAGTCTTACTATTAACCATCTCAAAGTCGAAGAGAAAAAGGTGAATGATGAAATAATATGTTCTAAATCGATGATCGCTAGCCTTCAAATTGTGATCTTACCCCAACTAACCATCAACACTCTTAAGGAGATGATACCAAACTATCAATTGGTCAAAAATTATGCTCCAAACGAGGAACTCAACATTTGAAAGGAATAAGAGATCCTACTTGTCTATAACTCGAGTGGTAGCAAGCGAAATACACCTCAACAAAAAAGTCAATTCTAAATTCCAATGCCTTTTAAGGAAAATCTAGTTTTCACATGCCTTTTTCAAAACAAAATTGAGATTTCTTTATCTAATTAAGTTAATTTTCGAATAAAATTGAAACCGACAAGATATCATTTTGAAAACAACACTTGACATTCTATTTTATCAAGTAATGGGCAAATAAAATGGCAAGTAAGATAAAAAGAATAAATAAATCTTGTAAAAACTCGAACATATGTTCAAATGCAAAATGCGATTATTCCTTAAAAAAAAAAATGACAACAAGAACCAATTGTCTGACTACTAGATCCACGTCTTGTTATGGTTCATTTTAGGGTAGAAGTTGATATTATCTATGCGTTATCCCGTGAAGACCATAAAATCCAAAATTGTATTTATAGGTTTGTTGATGGAATCTTGAGCTTCAATTTCAAAGAGAAAATCCATTGGTATCCGTTTAGGTTAATCTAACATCATCTTCTACTATAGTTCTTCACTCTTTCGTATCTTAAAAAAATTGGTGAAGGAATTAGACAGCTTTTTCTTGTAGATGATAAAATTTTGGAATTAACACATCCTATGTTTGCAAGAATATGCTTAGAAGTTGATGTCTCTAAGCCTTTACCAACTAGAATCCGGGAGGGTAATTTGAAAGACCATGGATTCTAGTCGAGAATTGAATATGAAGGGACTATGGTTTATTATACTAGTTATGGATAGATTAACCACACGGGTGATATTTATAGAAAGAAAACAAGAACTTCGTGCATGCTATTCCAATTCAAGATGATCAAGTGATTGTGACTATAAAAATTCAGTATAGATAAAGTGATAAGGGTAAAGAAGTATGGTTTCTAGTTAAGAAGAAGAATGAAAAAGTTCTCATCGTCCCAATCACATAAAGTGGCATAAATACAAAAGTGAATGTAATAACTAATGAAGTCCGTGAGATTGGGGAGTGTACTAGCCAGCTATATGAGCACCATTTGATCTATTCAAAGGTTCTAGATATGAGGACATGACAAATATTAAAGGTTCCGAACAAAAAGGCCGATAATGCTACTAGAAAAGGAAAATTAACACTAGAAAATTAGGTTCAACAAGATCATTGTGGGATGAGCATAATAACTTTGAACAATAACAATCATGATGTCTCAAAAGAAAAAGGCAAGGATATACTAATAGATAATAACCCGTTTGCATCACTTTCTATAATTGATGAGGATGAGTTAACCTATGCCAAAGATCTTACTAGATAGAAAGGATCGATTTTTCATGATGAGATAGACACAAAACAAGAAACAATTAGAAGACAATCTATAGGAAGCTTTGATTAGCAGAATGGGGATATGAATAACGTAAAAAATATCCATAAATAATTTTTTGAAATTGGAAAAAAGAAAAAATTATAGCAATATAAATTCAAATAGAAGACTTGATCAGCTTTACGAGTACTAGGCACTTCTCTCCCTATTGATATATATAATTTCGAATGCAAGGAGTATTGGTAATTTTGGTACCATTAATTATATAAGATTGCTTATAAAAACAACATAAGCCCTTGTTTTTAGCTATTATTGACCCAAATCTTGATGAATATAGGAGGATATTTATAACAACCCCGACCTAGGACGTAAATAGGTCGAGAATATTACCGACAATGCCTCAATGCCTCACATTCGAAATGTAATGAATGACATGACACCTCATAACCATTATTATTCTAAAGTAATTAATATTTACAAGTGGAAGTTCCTTCATTTAAAAAGTTTAGGTCCATCCTTTTATTCATCACACTCTAATTACAATTTATTTTGTTATTCATTCAAAGACAATGCACTAATAATCTTTATTTAAACTCAACTCATGAAAACATAATTTGAGATCTCCTAATGAAATATTTTTAGTCACATCATACTTGTATAAAATAAAAACTAGCTTGGTCTTTATAAAGCATATTAAGTTGTAAACAATATTTCTAAAAATGTAGTTATGAAAATAACATCTCTAAAAACATATAACATTTTTGAAATATGCATATTGTTAATGTAGATGACCAAGATCTAACTTTATTTGGATGGCTTGACATATTATAATATTAATAAAAAAAGTCTTACTATTAATTCTTGTTATTTATAATTAGATAAAATTAGATAAAATTTTATATAATATGCATTTCATTAATGATTGATTAATGGATGTGAGATAAATAATATCATTAAATGTCCTAAATTGTAGTATTATCAAGATTGGATATTGACTACATGTGGCAAGACTTGTGAGTGCTATGCTCTTACTATAAGATAGCAGATAGAAGATCTCATACCTATTGACAAAATGATGTCAACACAAGCATTCGAGTGATTAATGTTAGAGAATATATCACTAGATGTGATCTTATACGAGACGGGTACAACCGATCCTTTGGTTTAAATTCATCACAATTACTTCATTAGAGAATTTATATACTTTAACATTAGTTTCGATGGGCTTAGTAAAGAGTTGCATATGAGCGATTCGTTGGCTACATTAGGAATATAATGGAGATATGTGGATGATTGAGATAGGATATGTCATTCCTTATATGTTAAAGGAGTTATCACATTACACTTCGACGAATGTCTACTCAATAAATCTATGACCATATTGGAAGTATACCAATAGAGCATAATTGGTTTACTTATAAGCTAAGACATTTGGAGATTAAAGAAAACTTGTGTGATCATAATTGAACATGCTATAAACCAAGTTTGAGATTACAATATGATAAATTGACATAAGGACTAGAATCAATGTTTTGATGAAA